CGGAACTGTAACTTTTTGTTAAGCCAGCTGTTTTTTATTGCGCCGTGTTGCGGCAACTGTGCTTCATGTGCTTTCCTAATAAATATATATTAAACCAAATCCTTTCCGGGACCTCTATTGGCATTTCCGTTTGCTGTCACGTTCTTACGCAGGCGCTCACACACAGGCTTTTTCCTGGACACCTAGCCAAAGAATGAGTGACCCGCGCATAAATAGCAATCGGAACTTCCTCGAAGACGGAGCATTTTGACGTGTAGTTCTTCACTATTTCTGAGAAATTTTAGAGGGTGGGTGGCTGCTATGCACAGCGCCATGTTTTGCTGACGCATACGAGGCGAGAAGACGCCTCAGTTGTCTGTGTCAGTATAGTCTTGGAGATGCGATGAATAATAGATGAAGGAAATTTTTTTGTTGGCTTTTGTCGTGCAGTGAAGCATCATTCATTATTTAGGAAAATGGCACCGAGATAAAAAAAAATCCGCAGGATATCTTTCCCGCACCTCCTTCTTGGAGGATGTTTTGTTGCATTCGAGATGTCGTGACGCGCCGCCGCCAACACCATGGGAACACTTCTGCAAGCTCGTTTCGGGAGATGCAAACGGATTCAAGCTCGTCGAACATAGCGATCAATTGTCGATCTGCGATTCCTTTGAAGTGGCCACCCAAATTCCGACTGAGGTATATTGCAAAGTTTATCAGTCGACAAACTCGATTTGATTCGCTTTCGAAATATCCAGTGTTCTTACAACCATAGCCCAAGCAAGATACTTGTACCAGAGTCACTGAAGGATTTTTTATCGCAATGACAATTCAAGGCTGCTTGTCAAACATCATGAAACATCACTCAATAGTCAACACTCTTGTCTGGATTGCTGCAGGCAAAGGGCACGTTGATGCGCTGATTTCTCCCGACAGCACCCAGAGGAAGGTACTCAAAGGACAAGGGGGGAGGGGGCGTAGTGAGGATCTTGGAACATATTTGGCCCCATTACGCCCTTAAATACGCCGTGACACCTATGTACTCGAGCGTTTTATTGTAATCGAGAATTCATCATGCGATACTGTCGAATATTTGTTACGTGCGAGAGCGGCACGTTTGAACTAAAGTGTTTGTTCAGAATGAGTATGCCGCCAGAAAAACACTTTTTCTGCGCAAACTCATGAGTTTCACAGAGAACACATGAATTAGACTACTTATGCAACATTTAGTCTCCACTTATTAAAAACGCATTTGTTAACTTAACCTGCGTTGGAGCTTGTTGCCAAGAATTAGGTAAAACAATTTACTATTTCGTGAACCTGGCCGTGTTTGTATTCCTTTAAACTAACGTGCATTACACTAATGTACTTAGCTCATTGACGCTCACTGATCATTGTGTGCTATGCCAAGGTGGAATGGGCGGGATTTCAATCCCCCTAAATCTTTACAGCTTGTGGATGTATACACTCGCACAGACACATAGAAATATATCGGACACCAGCCTTCCCCCCCCCCCCCCCCCCCCCGAAAAGAACACTTGGCTACGCGTCCCTGTGTCCTCATTCATTAGCATGCAGTGTTTTCTCTTCTTTCTTCTTTTTTTTGCTTTTACATTTTGCTAGTTTATATCTGCTTCCCTCCCCCTCCAGCTCCATGTGAAACGAACGGGTCAAATATGCACAACGAATGAACGACGTCCAAAGAAAAACTGTGAAAAAATTTTTCAAATGTTCACCGTGTCATATTACTGGCATGTTTTGTTTAGCGAGTAAATGCCATCGATTGCTTATTGTGCTGAACAATTTCTGCGACACTTCCATGGCTTTAGCACTATAGTGTTCTTGTGTCAAAAAGTTTGGCTGTTTGCGCACCAGCCGCTGACATTGCACCCTTTCACACATAGTCGCCTTCCAAATCAACGGCAGCGGCGGTGGACACGAGGGAGACGTCCGTGGCCTTGGCTAACTGGATCACTGGTGCCATAAGAACCGAACGCGTGCGGAATGTCAATGGGTTTTTGCGAAAAATAAAGAAAGAAAAAAGGAAGCTGTTCCCATCGTATACAACCGGTTCTTGTGAGGGCGGCGCGGCTGCCACCCCCGAACGCGGCAGAACTCCGGACAGTGAACACAACTCGCATTTTTGTGCCGACCTGTTGTGCCCTCGCGATCTCCGACGACAGTGCCGCTGTGGCCGACTGGGTCGCTCCTACGCACGGAGGAAGGAAAGGTAGGAGAGGCCCTGACGTCACTCGTTGTGAAGCCGCGATGAAGCCGGAAGTCGGTCATATTGACTGGGCAAATTCTCCTCTCTTGTTTACATCCGAATGTAAAGCAGAAGGCGCGTCTCTCTCTCCGGCTTGGAAAGCACGTGAGCTGCACAGTGCGCGTGTCGTGACGATCCGAAACTAACGAAACAGGGCTCAACACTCTGGGCCAGCGTGACACCTTCGGCGAAATCATTTCGCCCCAGTATTAACAGCGAGTAACAGCTCGTCGACAACGAAGCAAGTACAAGAGAACGCCGCTAGATGCACTCACAACGGTGAGTGTTTTCACGTCATTAATTCAGCAACTGTACAGACAACATGATCGGTCGTGCGCCTTCTACGGTTGCATTCCGCCACACGGCCGACGCAGCGTCCGGTCACTGTGTCCGTGTTCCGCGTGAAACTCACCGGCGTCAGCATTCTGCGACCGTGGTGACTTTAAGTACGGTGCTAGTGACAGTTGAACGCGGTTGCTGTTACGTTGAGATTACATGCAATGCTTGGGGAGAGTATACGAAGCGGAAAAGAAAAGGTGTTTTAATACGCACATGCAAGTTGTTACTGTACACACACAACATGAAACTACCTATGTGCACATGGTCCTCATTGCGTCTTGCTGGGCTCAACAGCGTCGTCCGTTGTCACAAGCAGGAGAACTGCCCAACCGTCACTGACCTGCAAGGCGTTCGTCGTCATTTCGCTTCGTCATGGTGCCCAACGCAATTTCGCTAAACACCAATTGCTTCATCCGCGTCATCCGCCGCACGACATATGGATATGCACTCGTTCTACGCACTGTTGAAACCCACTGATGGACAGAATGATTTGTAAATGTTGCTAAGAGTACAGTAGCTCTCAGGAGAACACTGCGCAAACAATAACGTTCGCCACGGCTCAGCACGAGACCTGGGGAGGCACACATGCCACCGCCAGCCGCGGCCGCTCACTGCTAGACCAGCTCCAATGTGCAACACGTAACCGTAGCAACGCCGCCATTGTGCCCAGTGAATATGGCCGCCATGATGTCATTTCCTCCACACTTTTCACGCCGCGCGCCGGCTGCGCATGCCCTCTCCTACCTTTTCTTCTTCCGTGGTCCTACGCCACCTCCTGACGCCGGTCCCCGACGACGACGACAGCGTAGCTCTGGCCGACTGCATTAGCCCTATGCCATCTCCTGTCGCCGACAAGAGCTCTCGCCAGTGGTTCCCCGTCCTCGGACTCCTGCAACCGTGTCCCCCTTTCCTGTCTTCTCCTTACTTCTGTCGTTCGCTGTCTCTGCTCCTCGCTCTCTTTCCTCTCTCTCTATATCTTTACCTTTTAATCCTATCATTTTAATCCCTTCTCTACCCCCATCCCTCGTGAGCTACTGTTGAGGTGTGCTCCCCCTGAGAGACAGTTGCGGAGCTCACTTTTTTTCTTCTTTTCACCGTTAAAATCACTCCCCCCCCCCCCCCCATGAGGCGAGCCGCTTGATTAAATTATAAAAAGAAAACTTTTCGCTAGCAATCAAGTTTCTGCCAGGCTGGGTACACATTCTTTGCTTGACAGACTACTATATTGTAGCATCTGTGAAACTCCATGACAATTTCGCACCGACCCCGTACACTGTTCTAAAAGAATTTAGTATATACATAAATACTGATTAGTCATCTATTCAACCGTACCAGGAAGCTAAAAGGAATCTATTCAACAAAATTTTAAACTGGTCATAGAAGACAGGATGGTAACAGGAACACAGACGCACACACCTGTCTTTTCGCCGTTGCGTGAAATTTTGCAGTATCAATTAACCGATTATCCCAGCAACATGCCTTGCTTTTTCAAATTTGCGGGCTTCTGCCGAATGATACGCCATGCAGCGTCCCTTGTCTATTAATAATTAGCCTAATGCCGTAACCCCCTACCTAGATTATTGGTTAGCTCATGTGTTTAGGCACCAAAAAAGCGTCGGTCTCGGGCTCAATCTCCGAGTCACGACCAACTTTTCTGCCTCTCTGTCTTTATCAGAAGACTGTTTAGGTTCCCTTTATTTGTAGATTCGTGTTATACAGTTGGGCGAGTGACAATTTTGTCTGTCATAATATCGCGCATCTCTATTGCGGACTTCCGCGTGGAGATTTATTGTGGTCGTCTGTACTCCGATCAACTGGATTCGACGGCAGTGAGCGACTTCGTATTTTCGAAGACCAGTTGCGGAGAGTCCGCACGACGCACGACTATAGCAGCTATTTTGTTGTCTCTTTTGTCGTTTTTTCGTCCACTTTGATGTGTTTACGTTTGGATTATAATTACTACATTAAAGATTAAAAATGCAAATAATGTCCCCTCAAACTTTTAGAAATAACCGCTGTTGTCCCCGCCGAGCCTCTCCCGAAGTTCATGTTTAAACTCATGGCGAAAATGCTTTAAACATCCCAGCTGTTCGCTCTGCAGCTGTTGAGCAACTTAATGAGCAATCACGTTATTTAGATTGCAAATGTTTATTATTCATGAGATTTGAATTGGATACCTGCACATATGGTTCTCTTCAATCGATAGCAATTGTATATCGGTTTAATGCACTTTTTTTTTTTCCGTGCTACAGTCGGCTTCAATTGTGGTGTGCTCGCAATGTGGGTACATCGTTACTAATAGATTGCTAACTTGTACAGGGAAGCACTGGTGTAATATTGTTGTTTAAGAGGAAAGCCGAGTTTTGTGCGTCTGAGTTGAAAAGTAAGCATACTGTTCCCGTCTTGTTTTTTGCAGGAGCCAGGGTGCTGCGCCTTTGGCTGCTCATCGCGATGGCGGCCATCACCAAAAGTGGTTTCCTCATCATCGTCTCCTTGGTTTTGTTCCTCTGCTTGTTCATGGTGGCGCAGAACAGGCATCCCCTCTGGCGTGTGTTTGACGCCTTCAGACTGAACGAATGGTCTTACAGCCCTTTCTACTCGTCGAGTGGTGCCAATGGCACGAGCCGTTTACCTCGAATCATGATGTGGACATCGTTCTACGGTTCCTGGTACGGCTTGCTGAATAATAAAAAGATCGGTGAAGACTTCACTCGCAAGTGCGCCGTCAAGTGTTCAGTCACCAACGACCGGCGCTTGCTGTCGTCCAGCGACGCCATCGTCTTCCATGTGCGCGATATGGACATGAATGACCTTCCTACGAGGCGTTCCGAGTCCCAGAAGTGGGTCTTCTGGTCTATGGAGCCGCCGCCGTACTCCGTTTTCGCCGGCTTCAACTACATGCACAACATGTTCAACTGGACCATGTCGTACAGGCATGACTCCGACATTTACGAGCCTTACGGGAAGGTTGTGCCACGTAATGCCACCACTGCTTACAAGAAAGACCACCGGTCATTGTGGAAGTCCAAACAAAAGCAGGCTGTTTGGATGGTCAGTCACTGCAATACTGATAGTAAACGGGAAGAATATGTCCAAGAGCTGAAGAAGCACCTTGACGTTGACGTGTACGGCTCTTGTGGTGATCACGCCTGCCCAAGGACACGAGGTAGTGCCTGCTACAACGATTTCGAGCGGACTTACTTTTATATGCTTGCTTTTGAGAATTCCATATGCAACGATTATGCCACCGAAAAGTTTTTTTCGGCACTTAAGTATGACATGGTACCTGTGGTTTTTGGCGGCGCCAATTATAGCCAAATTGGGCCCGCTCAGTCGTACGTTGATGCGCTCGCCTTCAAATCTCCCAAGCAGCTTGCCGAACATCTTATTGTGCTGTCGAGGAACTACACTGCGTACAGCTCTTATTTTAAGTGGAAAAAAACTCATCAGCTGGCAACTTGGGACGTTGACTTTTGTGCGCTTTGTTCCAAGTTGCATAGCCGCCAGTTTCAGAGGACATCGTTGTACACTGACATGCGCGTGTGGTGGGAACAACAAGGCCGCTGTCGGACGTGGGTGCCGTAAGAAAGACTGTTCACTGTGACTTCTGCTTCCTGAGCTTTTGCTCTACGTGGTTGTGTTTTCAGATTCGTACCACTGCTACTTAATCAGGGTCATTATCATACTTATGTGTGCAGGGTGTTTTTATTTTTTTTTCTCGGGCCCTGTACGATCGCGAGTGTTCCTACATGCATGGTGCTCCGCAAAGCTGGCAACGTGTCGAGTAGGGCAACCGCGGGCACAGGTGGCTTCCTGCCGTGGCACTACAGTACCTAGGCGATAATGTGCCTAGGAGATTTCAGATGAAGCACAACAGCCCACGGATATACCACTGATAGCGGCGAACACTACGCGTTCATATAATTGGGACCATATAATTTTGTCCAGCGCGCTATAATTCCAAGCCATAGTCAGCGTGTTTGTATTGTACGCTCATTATATGCGGAATAGGCAGTACATCGCCATGTCGCTCTGTGCATGTTCATGTGTGCACACGGCCCCAGAAACTTCCGGAACATAAAGCCCTGAGAAAGAAATGTTGTGAGGATACTGTTTTGTACACGCGCTCATTTCTCTCTAAAACTGTTGAATGGTGAAGCTGCGAAGAAATTTAACTTGTAGAGAATCATCTGGTCCGGATACTTTTGGGATCGTCTGTACGTACAACTTAGTCCGTCGACGTCTTTTACACAGCCGTTTGCTGCACATCTGTTTGGTGTTGCACAATATGCCTTATTGTAGATGTTATATTGCCAGCCACTCAACGGCAGCTGAACGTACCTATGAACTCTTTGTGACCACGCGATTTGCCTTTGGAAAGCATTTTGCAATTTTCCGCAGTGTCTTATCGAGTGGCTTGTTGATCGTTGACCTGTAACTGATATCGTTTATTGTGGAAGCGATAGTTGTGTGCTGAGTAGAAATTGACGCAGCAAGTGTATGGTCTCGCTGTAATCAAGAACGCAAGTTGTTGTGAACGCTTATTATTTTTTTTAGCCGAACGTTGTAGACAGTTTTTGTGGATGCGTAATGCTAACGGTGTATTGCGTTGCTAGTATACAGTTAGCGAAATGACGATGTCTGCTTGTGATATACAAGATATAAAAGAAAAAAGGAGGAGGGGGTAAAAAATACAGAGCGATGCTGTTACTTTCGTCCATACTTGCTGGTTGAAAAGGGACCTCGAATCTACAGAATGATTTGGATGTCCTGAATGTCCACTCCGCCAGAATTTCTACCGCAAGACAATTTATCGAAATCTTTCGATTACGAGCAGCGTCATTGCAGAATAAAATATTTCCTCATCTGCTCTAGTCAGCTTGTTTCCTTTGTATATGCTCCGAATGCGATGCCCAATCCTCTGCCCGAACTACAGCTAAAAACGAGAAGATGAACCTGCAGAATAGTGAGAGAGTGGGGTATAGAAAAGCAGCAGACTGGGAAGTAATGAAATTACTGTAGACTGCAGTTGTAGTGAGTAATGTAATGAATTACTTCAAGTGAATAATGTCAAGTGAATTACTACTTTCCCAATTACTTTTGACGAAAGTATAGCGTGTCAGCTTGCCTTGTGGCATGTAAAGTTGACCAAAATGGTAGCAACAATATGACGGGTAATCTGGGTGCCCAATCGTTAGCGTTGGATAAAAAACAACGTTTCAGCGATGCAGCAAATATATCTGTAATTTCAGTGTACACGTGCCGTAAATTATGAGAGCGTGAGTCAGAGCATGAATGATGAACTTTTGTTGGAGCAATGCCAATGTGATTTCATTACTTTTCAAACGCAATAGTAATGTAATGTCTACTTCTAGGCAGCTGTAAGATATGTAGTTCAATTAAATTTTAAAATTATGGAATAATTAGTAATGTGCATGAAATGCGTGTTAGGGGTTACCTTGCCATGTCTGAAATGCAGGCAAGCCAGTCAGACGAGCGTCTGGTTCGCTATCGTGCACTGAAAGTAAAGGAATGGAGTATCGAAAGTGAGAGATTTGCAGTACTGCACCGCGGGTCTGGCCGGCGTTGAAGTCAGTCTTGTACCACATTTCTACATGTCTCTCTTGCAAGGGCGCGTGGTGAATAACATTGCACATGGTTGTGTGGAATGCGTGACGCATCGAAAGTTGAGTTAACGTTGGTGTACTGGGCAAGAAGCAGAGAGCATCAAGTTGCGGCTTCTGCATTCGCTTTCTGGCACTGTGGTATCGCCTTTTCAAAGTAGTATCTGCTTCTTTTTTCTATATCTATTTTCTTTTTTTTTTCGTTAGCCAGGCCCTGTCCAATTTCCCACAACGGAGGTCGGTCGCCCCACTGCGGTGGTCTAGTGGCTAAGGTACTCGGCCGCTGGCCCGCAGGCCGCGGGATCGAATCCCGGCTGCGGCGGCTGCATTCCCGATGGAGGCGGAAATATTGTAGGCCCGTGAGCTCAGATTTGGGTGCACGTTGAAGAACCCCAGGTGGTCGAAATTTTCTGAGCCCTCCACTACGGCGTCTCTTATAATCATACGGTGGTTTTGGGACGTTAAACCCCACAAATCAACCAATCAATCAACAACGCAAGTCGGTTCAGTTTCAGTACAGAAATGGAAGTGATAGCTATTGAAGTAAGCATGCCGGTAAACAATGGTGTAATGAATGCGAGGGCCAGCGACTTGATGCTGCACTAATAAGGATAGTAAAACTGGGCTAGCTGCCAGTGCTTGGTATTATGCATAGCGCTAGAGCAACACGGAAGAAAAAAAAGCATTTTTGACGCTCTATAGCACACTCTGGGCACTATCTGGGCAGTCTCCACATGCACTTTGGCATGTCAGGTAAGCAGCACGCGCGCACTCTATATGGTGGTGCGTGCTATATTATATAACGATGCCCAACCCGAATTGAAATCTCACATGCTGATCGAGACATGTCCCTGAGCCTGGCTGCATACGGGCCTCTTGGCTGGTTGGCCCCTGTGCACATCTATAGAACACTCAACTGCGGACGTTTCGAAGGCGTTCTCGGCGCCAAGATAGCGCGAATTCGATATCGTATGGGGTTTCTTTCGCCATTCATATTCTGTTGCAATGATTACCTTCTTTTCCTGCGAAATTAGTGTACAGAATTCAAGAAAGTATTCTGCATCATTGATTCAAATATTTACAATATTGAGATGCACTCTGGTGTCACTTTGAACAAACACAAAAAAAATTTTCCGTAATCATTGTTTCGTTATGTCGAAGTTTATTTGTGTATTAGAGACTTGCTAGGACATCACTATTCTTAAATAACAGTTGTGAATGTAAAGTAACAGTTACTGCATGATTGCGAAGTTGTGTTAACTAGAGAAAAAAAAACTTAATTTGACTGCGCGAAGAAATAGCGCCAGCCCAATCTCTCAGCGCAATGAAGCAATATTGATCACCTGTCACCGTCATCACCTGATGCACTCCTCTTAGACAATTAGGGGCCCCAGCAAGCGGGTTGCTGAAAAAGGCGATGTGCATATAAATTCGGAGCGATTCTTTTATACACAGCTTAGAAAGAATACTGGGGACACCACTGCGGAATAAGTACAAATTAAGAGCGTAATTTTCACTCTAAGAAGCTATATGTTCAGACGACACGAACTACGCTTGAAGTAGTTTTCCAACTTTCAAGTATTATTGATTATATCAGGATACTAGCGCACAGTGACACCATCTGACACTCCACTCGCTGATTACTACAATTATTCCGTGGTTTTAGAATAATATATTGTCGTTTGGCATTGCCAGCGGTTGGCGTACAGAGCCCGTTCACCCTCTCTCTCCCCCATTTCAATATTAGTAAAGACGATAATCTTTTTTGAGGATCATCGACGCTAAAAATCTTTTCTGTCTGTTTGTCCGCCCTTAACGGTACTCTAAAATGCACCAAAAAATACAACAGAAGACACACATACCCCAAACGGCCGACCACATCCGCAGCGCCCACCAATATTACTCAATGTTCAGCTTTCATACTTGTGCGATTGTCAATTAAAAAGCAACTATTGCGCCTATCTGAGGCACCATAACAACACGTCAATATTTTGTATGTGCGTCGATCTTTTACTAGAAAACGCATACATAAGTATTTCTAAGGACCGTAGCGTTTATCACGCTGCGCTGACCATGCAACGCTTGCACGAAAAGGCAAGTGTTTCCAACGCTTTGCTAAGACGACGCAAGACGACCTACCCATCGCCTTGCGTTCTGCACCTTATCACCTTTGAGACAGGCGCGCACGCCGCGCTTTGTTTTCCAAGATAACTGCCAGATGGCGCTCATCTCTCACGTGTGACGTGACCTGATGCCCTCGTTGGCCTTCACTGCACGCTCGAGGCACTTTAACGCAGCGCCTCCAAAATACCATTCACCGATTTTCTTGCGCAGAACATCAAATAAATGTTTTGTTCACCCCCTCCAGACGCAAGACTATGTTTTGACGACATTTGCAGTGTAACATGCAGATACGGGGCCAATGTTTTACTTATTTATTTTTGCCGTGACAAGCAGAGTGCAAAATGACACTCAACCACATCTGCCTGTCCGGCTCCGACTTCAGATCGAGAAGGTGCCCCCCTCCCTACCTTGAAAAAAATTTCTGCCTACGCCCCTGGTCTTGCGTAAAGAATAGCCGGCATTCTACTTTGGGTAATGAGGTATGTAGTTGTTATTGTTTTTTCGTCAGTCTTCTGTATACAGGGTGCCCCAACCATTTTTAGCTAGAGTTTTAAAATATGCCGACACAGGCAATTATGACGCGACCAAATGCCTGTTGCAGACCGTTTTCTGGAGTGAATCAGATCATGTTTCTTGTTCTGATCAATTGTTTAATTAGACCCTAACTAACTTCTGAAGGAACGAACATGGGTCAAAAAATTTCAATGAGGAAGTTGTAGATCAGTTTGCAAAACGTCCGATTAGACAGTTTCGAAGCTTGTATCTCTTAATTATCAGTGTTTTTCTGCTAACTACAAATGCCCGCGAAACACAAAAAAAAAAATGCCACGTGACAAACCCACCGGCGCGCGTGATTCTGATGATCCTTAATGTTCCGCGTACGAAAGATACGCTTCCCTCGCAACGGTTTATGACAGCGATAATCATTCACAGCGGTTATCGCTTTTGTTGCCGATAGCGAAACGTGTTCATCGCAATGCCACCACCGTCGTTGCAGCCCTGTCGAGGCAGCAATCAGGTAAGTGCTAATTAATATGTGGGGTTTAACGTTCCAAAACCACCATATGATTATGAGAGACGCCGTATAGTTGAGGGCTCCGGAAATTTTGACCACCTGTGGTTCTTTAACGTGCGCCAAAATCTGAGCACACGGGCTTACAACATTTCCGCCTCCATCGGAAATGCAGCCGCCGCAGCCGGGATTCGATCCCGCGACCTGCGGATCAGCAGCCGAGTACCTTAGCCACTAGACCACCGCGGCGGGGCCAGGCAAATGCTATGGTCGTTCGTACGCGGAACGTAAGGAAGCATTATAATCGTTGTACGCACTGGTGTGCGAGCGGGCTTGTCGCGAGGTATTTTCTCGCATTTCGCGGACATTTGCAGTTAGAAAAAAAACTAAAAATTAACAGATATAACGCTCGAAATTGTCTAATCGGATGCTCTGCAAACCGGTGAACATCGTTCTCATTTGAATGCTCTGCCCATTTTCGTTGCTTCAAAAGTTAGTTTCAAAAGTTACCTAATTAGGCAATTCATCGAAACACAAAGAATAGTCTGACTCACTCCAAGTAAAAGTCAGCAACATACATTTGATCGCATCGTCAATGCGCGCGTCGGAATATTTTTAAACTCTGGCTAAAGATAGCTGAGGCACCATATATGTATATAGAAGAAGGTTCATTGTCTGTTAGTTCTCCTTAATATTGTGTCTAACAAAGACAACGAGCACTTAAAATTCACACTTTTTTTTCTCAAGTTGCCGTATAGCATCACTTGCATGATAGTGCAGAGAATTTCCGTCACGTAAATAAATGAAACACGACTCATGCTGTTCAAGAAACAATTGAGATAAACCAAACACACCTATCTTGACTGGGTGAAACAATTTCATCCGACTGGTATGCTCCTAGGCACGCCCAAAAGAAAACATATAGAATACATTTTTTTACGCTTTCTTGGTGCGTAACACATTCATCACTCTTGGAAATATGAAAGAAGTTACAAGCAAAAAACCATGAAAAAAAGACCATTTCCTGTCTTCTCATGCTGCAGGTTCTTCAACTGCACCTCGCGCTTAATCACACCAGCACGACGGTAACAATCAACTGGCACGCCGAGGTACT